CCCCTTTTAATTATGTCAATCCAGCTGCTAATAAGTATTACAGATATTATTATCGTCTTCATTGATATTATGCCAGGGTTTTTAAAACTTTAACCTTAGCTAGTGTCTTTGACTTTCCCACCCCATCTTACCTAGTCCCCAAATTTCTCTAGCATGGACAGAAGTCTCCCCTCAACATCTGCTGTTTATGATGGCATGCTCCTGCTCTAGAAGGTATTCTGACTCCCTCTTAGCTATCACAACGTCCAAAGTCCTCTGCCTGGCCTTCAGAGCTCATACGCTGGCTCTAATGTCTAGCTTAGTGTTTTGTTTGTTTGACTTCTCAGCATGGAGCTGCTGGGCTAGGTATTCATATCACTGTGCCTCACTTTACTGCAACCGCAACACCTGCCTGCTATATAGAAAGGTCTCCATAAACGATAGCTGTGTTTATAAAGTCTTCTCCAACTTATTCCAGTCTTTCCGTTTCCTTTTTTTGAAACCTCATTACCACAAGAATCAGCATTGTACCAATCAGCATATTCACTCTAATTGATTCACTATTTTAGCTACTTCATTTTCCTAAATAGACTAAGTTCCCCAGGATCAGAGACCATGGCTTATATTTTCTCTGTGTTTTCAAAAATGCCTGGCATAGATGTTGCTGTTCTATAAACAAGTGTTAATTAATATTTCATTTATTGAGTTTAACTTATTATAACATATTTGTTGTGACCTAATCTCCTACAGGTGTGTATTTTTCATAATGGTCTCCTATAATAATACAATATAGGCCCTTATGTATACTACATAGTTTCATAAAAATTAATTATCAAAATCATAAGTTCATGTTTGAAGGCACCTCCCATCTTCCCAAGATTTGTTTCTTTTTTTGTTTTAGCACATAAGGAATATAATGATCAGAGATATTAAATGATCTGTCAAATGCAAAGTTATAAAGCTAGCTGGTGGCCCCATTAAACCAAATGAAAACTGGTAGCATTAAATAAGATGAAGAAGTGGAGATTAAACATGATAACACAGTCTGTTAAGACAGGTGTATATATTTTTCCAGTGTCTACAGAGAGAATGTAATACTACCATTTACTTTTTATTATAAGGAAAAAAAAAAGTCTTGCCTTGCCAGAGTTAGAAGTACTTTAGCAGAAATGAATTCATTTAATTTCACTGACTTCCTGGGAAGAAATTTGGAGAACATATTAACTCTATGTTATAAATAAAGATATCATCCAGAGAGTTGAAGTGAAAGGCTCACAACTGTTCACCAAAATTGGTGGTAAAAACTCTAATCCCCTCATGGGGAAGCCACATCTGTCCATGAGACAACATAATGGGTTTATAAATATGGTCTGGTATAAAATCATTTTTAGATTTAAAAAATCACATCAACATCTTCCCAAATAGTTTTCCACTAAAACTGTTGAGAAGAACAGATATACAAAAATGAGGGGAAAAAACAAAGAGGGAACTTTGGACAACGTTATGTTCAAATTGTCTTCTTTCTCTGAACTATATGACGACCTAAGGCCTCAGAGGGTAAAAGGTGAAATGATTCTTTTCTCGTCTTTATGTAATCTGGAATAGTAACTATTTTTTTCCCAGGATAAATTTGAAATCAGTGTACAGAGATGAGAAATATAAAAGATGAGAATTATCACTGAAATCCCCACACAGTGCCCAGGGGATAAGGCCAAGTAACCAGCAAACCTCTCTTCAGAGAAGTGTTTACCTGTTTATATGGTAAATCCATCTGGGACACCTTGTTTTACACAGAGAGACAAAGCGATTTGCTGTAAAGTCTTCTACTTCAACTCTCAAGAAGACATCAGTAGATTAGGTGACCAGGGAGACTATTTGGAAACTTCCATGCTTGCGGTGTTTCTGAGTCATGTCTTTAGTCAGGGATAAAGCTGATTTTGAATAATATAGCTCATGCTTCAGCAATGTTTTGCTCTAGACAGATGGACGATATGGAAACTATGATGTGGCTTCATATAAGGGACCATGATGAGCCAATGCAACCTTTTAATGTTTTCTGCTTCTATTCAAGTGGTCTAGTGAACAATATATTATCCTAAGACATGGTATTTATATAGTATGGGCCTTTGTAGTGATTATTTTTAACACTATACATGTTTTTAACACAGGGATTTTTAAAACACACACTTTTATTTAACAAAAAAGACCTGCAATATTTAGGTGTTAAATATATGCCAATTATTCCTTTAAGGTACTAGCTTGCTTTGATGCATCAATAAAGACATGGCCCAAAAGTGGGAGGAAGTTATCAAAATCAGAGATGCGAAAGGTTTCCTTTCCAAGAAGATCCAGTAATAAGCTTGAACACTTTTCTGAAAGGTTCTAATTACAAACAAACAAATAAATAAACAAATTATGATGCCAATTTGCTGAGAACTAGAAGACAGGCATAGCTCACTAGACAATGAGCTTGGGGAATAGAGTGTTCATTCACGGTTTGCTGCTTTAATAATTATTAAAGGAATAGCAAACATTTCACTACAAGATTTTAAAAAATCTATAGCAAGTATTTTTTCTTTTTTTCCTGAACTGGGCTTAAAATTTAATGAAAAACTGTGTGGGTGAAAAAAATGCAGTTGTTGGCACAATACCAATATGGAACAAATGAACAGCAATTATGCGATTACATGTTTTGTATAGGACGTGGGAGGGCTACAGAATAGCTGAAATTAATATGTGGAAAATAACTGCCCTGGTTCCTTAGAGGTATTTGGAAACTATCATATGTACTCACTCAGCTTGTAAATCTTTGCAAAGGCTACGATGAAAAATGATCATGTTTCATTATTATAATTAAAATATAGTGGTCTCAGATGATCTTCTAAAGAAGTAAACATATGAGACTCAGATAATATGGGTAAAATTGTTTAAAAAGGAGAAGAATTTAAGGAACTACAGTTTACATGTTTTTCAAGGGGATTTATTAAAACACAATTAGATTGCATGCGTGGGATTAGGAGAGAATAACAAGCTATCCCCATACAATAAACGAACCTCACATTTTATAGAATCTCAGGTTCCGGTGTTTTCTATTTTGATTTGAGAAAATCTTATAGAAAACTATAAAAGTTGTTCATTCCCATTCACTATGATAAATATGGGGGTGCCTTGTCTGTGTTGTATTCACAGGAAGTTGTCAGAACCAAAGATGAAAACTGACCGATTTTAACTCTTTGCTGGCACTTGGTATACAAATTGGAATATACTGGTGATTCAAAAGTGAGCCTCTAAGATTAATTTTAAAACAGTAAACATTGATAGGCATGTGAAATAATTCAAACCTGAATTATTCTTTCATTTTTACTTGCTCTTTCATTTTCATCTTGCTTTAAACATTTAAAGACTTTTATGTATGAATTTTATCTTGGCTTATCACTATTGCCTACCTCTATCAAAGAGATGTTTAGTAATTGAATCTCTCTTGTGATTCCTAGTCTTTTATTCACTTTAATAGGCTGTATTTACTTTTATAAGCTGTCTGATTGATAAAATCAGCTATACAACTACCAAAACTTGTCTTCTGTTGGAACTGCTTCTACTCTTTAAAAGAAGAGCTTTTGAGGGCAAAAAACAGCGCTGGGAGGTACTTGTTCACAGCCATGAGGTCCCATGAGACACTACAAGACAGCCCACATTTCGAACAGCACAGGGAGTAGCAAAATATTTCTTACAAAATGACATTTTTGTTTGGTGTTATGATTTTAAGACATGTCTTTTAAGATGAACTTTACTTACAAACAATGAAGGCTTTGTTAGCACTAGCACATAAATATTTGTATATGATTTATATGATGTAAAATGGACATGCCTCCTTAATTATTTTTTGTGCTTTTTTTTTTTCCATTTTGCTAATTGCTCTTTCTATGAGCTCTGCTGTCTTTAATAAACTTGCTGTTCTTTGTCAACATTTAAGTCGCAAGCCAATATTCTGGAGCAGGAGACAGATTTTATGATGGCGTGTTTTTTTTCTCATTTAGGACAAGCATTGTTACTTTAGAACAGTGGGACACAGCTATCGGCCAACTGAAAAAATAAAAGTGTATTTTTCATCATTTCAGTATGACATTAAACATCTTTTACCACATCAAATTATATGCGTCCCTGTACCACATCTAGCCTCAGTATCAAGGGTAGAATTAAAATGCATGGCACCATAAACACGTGCTTTTTATTGAGACCCACTAATTTTAACTACAAGGTTTAAATATTAAAGTCCTGATAATACCATTGCTTTATTTTACCTGTTGAGAGAGGATAACTGTGATACTTCTTAATGATGCATCAATTGCTTCAGGTCATAGAAAAGAGCGCCATTCTAAATATAACTATAAACAACTGTTGTGCATGAAAGAACACTCTGCCTTCTATACACAGTGATGCTACACATACTAACTCCATTTCCAAACACATGCAACTTGCTTTTTTTCATTAGTGAGCTCCACCTAAGTTCCATTTTTAAAAATAGTTACAAAACAATACGCTAATGTCAAGCGCAACAGCTGTGTCAGTAAATAATCTTCTGCCCTTCTGTTTCGATTAGTTGTCCTATTCGTTTTGCAGGTGATCACTGGGGTAAAAAGGAACATTATCTTACAGCTTAATTCAAAATTGGATGGAGAAGTAGGCACCAAAAGTTATAGACCTCTATGATATTTGCACATCTCTTCTAGGTAACAATGAGGAAAATCATGAGAAAAGCAACTTCATAAATACGAAGGCAAAAATGAAAAACAAAAACATCAAAGAAAGCAGGAAAAAAAACAACCAAAAAAATCAACAATGGAGATAACAGAGGAGATGAAAAATGGTGTAAACTTTTTAAAACACTCTACAAATCAAACAGTATTATTCAACAGGAGGCAACGGAATTGGAAAAAGAAGCAACAATACATCATGAGACACAGAATCATCTGAAAGAAGCCATTATGGAAATAAGCCACACAGAAGATTTCTTTTCTTACTTGCACAAGTATCGTGAGGGGTTTGAAAGGTCTTTCACCATGAAGCACTCGCCTCCATTCACACAGAAAGTTTTCTCCTTCTCTGCACATTTTACAAGGTGGCTTGTTCCGGTAGTAGAAGTGGATGTAGCTGGATGGAAGATAAAGAAGGGCAAAGGTTTAGGTCTATCTGGCCCCCTTCTGAGCAGCCTTTAATCTTAAACTCTCTTAAAAGGAAGAGTTCATATAAGCTACAGTGTACTCGACTAAACTTTCAGGCTTAATAAATACCAGCAAACAAGTTAAGTAAGTACTTTCTGGGTGCAATTAAATAGAATACAATTATAAAAGGGTAATTATCATTAACTTAATAATTAAATAGAAAAAGGGACTCAACATTTTTTATAAGCAACATTTTATCTTCTAAGTAAGTTGGAAATGAGAAGCTCTATTGTCATTAAGTAAAATACATTGTCTAGCAAGGCTCAAAGATAATGAATGATATAGAGTTTTATCAGTGCAACTTAATTTAGATATCAATTTTTTAATGGCCACTAATTGATACAATTATTTATTTTGGAAATTATGGTTTATATGTATATTGACTATATTTTTCAGACATAATATATAGCAAAGAGAAATAAAAGGTGGCTTATCTGTTCCTAATGAAAAACTATAAATTATTAATTGAACATATAATATCATACAGATCTGGGGCCATTCTTTTCAAAATTTCCATTCTACTTTAATTTCTACTCAGAAGAACACTGTTGAAACAAACAACTACTATCATACTTTTGAGGAAACGGAAAGATAGTCAAATAGTGCTGAAAATGTAGAGTGAGACACTATAAAATTCACCCATTTTGAATTAGGAGTAGAAATAAGTCTTAATTTTGGTTTGTAGCATCTTCGTGTAACAAAGTTATTATTCACTTATCAAATTTCACAGTCATCTGAAAGTAAAGTTGCATAGATTAAATGAAGCCAGAGCTCTCAGGCCTCAGACTAGAAGGGCATTTAGTATCAAACTCCTCCCGGCTTACATCACTTGGAACACCATGGGCAGTGCTCAGTCTCCACCCAAAGCAGTACCATTTAAATAATGTTTATCACCAATAGGTTCAGGACAAAAAAACAAAACCAATACGTCAAGCCAATGAAGATTCTATTTATTCTCTCAGAAAAAAACAATCCATCTTTAGACAAAGTTCTTTTCCTGTCTACTGACTCATCCTTTGTGATTTTTTAATCCTTCCCTTCCTTATTAATTTCTATGTTATTATTTGCATATGGGAGTCAGGTGCCCCTATGTACTTTTACTTGACCTGGCATGTATTATTTTTCCATTTTCTGTTGCCTTTCTTTTTCATTTTCTACACAAGCACGTGGGTTTTTTTTTTTTTTTTACTTTTAACCCAATTTTTCCTCTAACTCTGCTTGATTTTTACTCTATCTGATAGAAATTCTCAACATCTGATTATTCAGTTTCTGAATCACTCAAGACCTTTCATGCCTCTTTATTCTCCTGATTTACAACGAGGCATGTTTTTGGACCGTTTCACTCTTCTCAGCATGGGTTTCAGGAGTAAGAGCAAAGGACAGTCAACATGACTTGTACTTTGGAAATAGATCTGGCTCAGATCCCAGCTCCTACTAGTTCTGTGTCCTTGAGCAAGTCATTTAACCACCCAGATGCCCAATTTTCCCATTTAGAAAACAGGAGTAATGGTACTCTTAGAGGATTTTTGTAGTGATTATAAATAATCGAGGTAAAACAACGGGCACAAAGCTGGCACTCAATGAATAATAGCAGGTATTATTACTGGGCAAGTAGGAAAGGTGTACATTAAGCACATAAAAAGTTTGACAATGGAAATCTGGGGATTTCAAAGATGCATGCTATTCTTGAATCATGACTATGGGTAATTAAGAAATGGTTCATTTTTTTTTTTTTACTTTTTTTTTTTTAATTCCAACAAAAAGTCCCTTTCAAAATGTATCCCTAGGTATCCTTCACAGGTCCACAAACCAAACAAAAGGCACCAGGAAGAGTAAGGAGAGAGGTGATTTTACCCTCCGTTATCAACTATATTTTACCTTCTTTACCAGGAAGAGGGGAAGGCAATTAGCAACATTTGGTCTGTAAAATTATAGAGTAGACAGCATTTCTGTACATCACATAACTTAAAATTTAACATATTCTATTTGCATGTGAAAAATTGTTTATGTGGGTGCTGTGTGTTAGTTTCATCCATGGCAATTGCTTTTAAAAGGTATGAGTAAGAAGTTTGCCTTAAGTGTTAAAGGTTTTGTGCTTAAGACTTTCCACTGCTGACAGGATTCCATGGGATGACAAATTGGGCAGGGTATCCTTGCTGTCTCAGGTGACAGTGCAGAACAGACCACCTGCAGTGCGCTGTCACCACTCATTCCTGCAGGAGAACTCTAGAGCCTCAAGCAGACCCCATGATCCCTGAATCTCTGACAGCTTGCTAAGTATTACCCCTCAGCAAACACTGCACCGGGCTCTTTCAGAACAAATCTGAGGCTTGTGCTAAAAACAACAAAATCACCATCCTCCCCAAAGCAGACACTCAATCTAAATTTTAAACTAACAATTAAGACTAGCAATGATATACGCAAGAGACAGACACATCATACCTACTCCTTCGACTTTCTCATCTTGTGTTATCAAATAAATAAGATTAATAAACGTGTGCTAAAACTAGAAATAATTCCTCCCCCCCTTTTTTTGGTCCTTTAAAAATGTTTTTCCCTGAAATGATTATCCTTTTAATGCTATACTGCAGCTCCAAGTTATGACACATTATTTGAAAAACTCTTAGGTCATGACTTGAAACTAGCAATGGGCTATTTGATAGTTAAATAATTCTTGGAGACAATTAAGTAGCAACTACCTCATATGGTCATGGACTATTGTACTTAGAACACTTTTATCTTTTAGCAGCAGCAAGAACAAAAATCATGGAATTGTAAAGCAGCAATGAACTCCCAGGTGATGCAAAGTGTGAACTGACTGGCTACAGCTGTTCTGAACCAACAGCCAAACACAGGAATAAGTCGTAATTGTTAGAAGAACCTGTGATGGAGATGGTGATATGTGCAAGCTTCAGATTTTTGCCAGGTTTCCTTTTATTCTTAGTTGAACACAGTGCATAGTCAGTCCTAAATCGATCTATCAATTCTGCACTGATAATCTGTCCTATTTGGCTTACACACATTGTATTGCTAAGTCAGTGTCCCTCTGGTAATTCTGACAAACCAGCTTCTTAAAGCAAACTAGAGAAGTAACATTTTTTCTGGGAGAACTGGGAGGAGTTTATTGGAGGTGAAGTGAAAGGTTTTGCACACGTCATGTGTTCCCATACATAAATGATGATCCTCACAGTTGTACCTGGAAGGGAATGAAGCCGAGCTCACTCATTCACTACTTAAACTCTGCCTCCCTCTGCTTTGTGACTCCTTTGTCATAATTTGGGAGTTTGTCATCTTCTAGTAAGTGCTAAATAAACAGCAACTAGGAACACTACGAAATAGGACTCCATTTTTGGTTTGCCATTTATATGAATGCTGTATCCCAAATACACTTTCCTTGGGATGTTAACAACTACAATCTTACAGGGAAGAAAGTGTAAATAATGCAGTAACTTGTTACCAGAGAATGCACTTTGGGGTGCTTCACTCTGACCTGGTCTTTCTTGGAAATATAGGTCAGGACTAAGGCTTTGGAGACTAACTAAGATCACCATTTCCAGGCTCTCAAAATCCATACCATACAATAGGACTCCCTCCATCTTTCTAGCCTTCCTTTCTCCCTCCATCCCTCCTTCCCTACCTCCTTTCCTCCCTTCCTTCCACAATTGTTTAATGATTACCTATTATGTGCAAGGCATAATAATAACTAGAGTTACTGGGGTTAGAAATTGTAAGACTGTGAACAAATCTCCCTTTACAGATAAGCTGGAGTGAAATGACACTGCAGTTCGCTGAGAAGAATCAGGTCCAAGGCTCAATTTTGCCAATGACTAGCTGTGTGTCTCTTGCCCAGCTAACCTGCCTCAGTAAATTCAGTGGTAAAAATGAGATATCACAGGATTGTTGTGAATGTGATACAATACTTTGTCAGTTGCAATACTGCACACAAATATATGATACTGTTACTATCACTAATCGTATAAATATGGAACAAAGACAAGAAAAAACTTTTCTGTGCAGGCTCTGGAATTCTATATATTCAAGCTGCAAATATTGTTTCCTAGTAAATTATTATTCGTGGAATATGGAGACAGTCTAATCAGAAAAGGTAACCACTGCATGACTGTAAAGCATTAAGTAAATATCAACAACCTACTCTATTTTAACTTTAGCACAACCTGTAAAATAAGTTGAACAATTTGGTTTAAAAGAAAAAAAACGAACATCTTAAATGTGTAATTATTTTCAACTTTCAAGATCCACACAATTTTTTTATATTTCTGACTGAACTTCCAAGTTACATGAATTAAGTTCACTTACAATATTGTGTGTTATTTTAAACAGTTTTAAAAATATAAAATATTTAAAAGTAATGTGACGTCCATAATATATGGGACAGAGTATAAGCTGTTTCTAACTTAACATTTTGAAAATCACATACCACACTGCACACTTAAAAATATACAGAATACAAATTTGAGGAGTAATTAAGAGTTCTCTGTTCTATTACTAAATATCTTCCACAGATTCACACCATATTTCCCATAGAATGCCAGGCTTTTCCTGCTCAAGGCAGGTTAAAAAGAAAATAATGCTGGAAAGGATGGCTTACTTTCTTGCTGGTTGTAAGTGGTGTTTTCCTTATCAGTCAAGTAGACAGCAGCAACAGACCAGAGCCATTACACAAATGCAAATTGCTGATAAGAAGTCACTCTATTCTTCTTTGACAATTAGCAGGAATTAGCATGAGTGTACAGTGTTTACCCCAAGGAGCAATCATTAGATCTGTCTTCCCCATGTGAATGAGTCTTTACTAGCAGCTCTTAGCACAATTCTTAATGATTTACTTGCATAAAATTAAATAACTATGCAGTTTTCTCAACAAAATATAAAAAATTAAAGTTATTATATTCCACTAAATATGAAACTGTC